CTTGCATTCTCAGACAAAGCATATGGAGCTCGATATTCATTTTGTTAGAGAGAAGGTTATTAGGAAAGAGTTGGAGGTTGAGCATGTTACTTCTGCCGAACAAGTAGCTGATGGCTTGACTAAACCAGTTTCTAGCCTTCGGTTTGAGTTGCTGAAAAATAGATTAGGAATTCGAGATTTGCAGAAATGTGCTGAACGAGGGAGGTCCAAATTACCGGGGCATGTTAACAGAATTAGTTAAAGTAGAAGTCTGTTAAGAGTTAGTTACAAGATTCCCTCCATAATCTAGTTTCATTCAGCTGTACTTGTATCTATAAATATAGTGACCTCTCTCTCAGAAAATTAATGAAATGAATTCTCCCGCCATATGTTCGTCTAGAGCTCTCTGCTCATTTCTTCTATCTTGAATGTTCTTTATGTTTAGCACGCCCCTTTCGCATTTTTATAGATAGTATAGCTTATAAAAAATATTTAACATCTGCTACGAGTCGTAGCACTCCCTTGCAACCCTAGACACATGGATATAGAGCCGATTGAATATATCCTGCGTGATGTATCACTCGTTTGACGAGCATGATGATCAAGAAAAAGAGACAAGGGATCATGACATTTAGAAATCAAGAATTTAAACCAGATATTACCTTTAAAGATGGAAGAATAGTGGACAAAAGACTGAAAAGGGAGCCACAGTGAATGTTTCAAGAATCAGCAAAACTTTGAGATTGTGAAGATAAATTTATGTTTCTCAATATGTTACAAACGTAAATTTCTAAACATAAATTTAGCCCTCACTCCCGTGGAAATCCAAGCAATCCAAAGCATCCTCCTCCCCCGAGAAGCTGATTTGACCTGATGAGCAGATTCTCGATGAAAGTGCTTACAGAATAGCCATCTCAATTTCTCCAACTAGTTCTTTTGAGTCCGGCAGCTTCTTTGCCCAATCAATCAGGCCTCATTCGAAGATAACTCATTTCTTTGGAGATGTTGTGGGGATGCCATCACTTTGAACTCGGCCTTATATCCGGACCCCTCATCCCCTGATAGGATTGAATCGATTGATCATGGTTTCCTCAATTATCCTTCATCCAAAGGCATTGTTTGGCTTCCCCATTGCGAGTTCGGCTTTGGTCAGTTGCTAACTGCTAAGCCTGTTCGAACATCCTTTACTGACTTATATCTCTTTACTGTGCTTTATTTCATGGGTGATATTCCCGATGCAAGAGACTGTTCGAACGGTGTTAGCACAACATGCACCGACTGAAATCGATCTTCAAATGGTGTGAGCATGGAATTGCACTGACTGAAGCCGATCTCCCCCATTGCAATTAGATCTGTCAGCAGCGCCAGACTCATCGAATGAATCAAATCCTGGTCCCTCCTCCCAAAGTTTGAAGACTATGATGAAAAGTTCTATCATAGCCATAGCTTGCTAGACCATTTGAAGAATTCAAAACTCCCTGGTCTTCTCTTGGAAAAGACATTTCCCACGAAAAGCTCTCCGATGAATCCAAAGTTGGAAGAAAAGCAACTTCATTCATTCCCCTCCTGGACGATCGGCTAGAGAATCAGCCTCCTGGTCCCCCTTTGCAGATGGGTTCCTCAAGTTGAACTTTGATGCTGCCATTTACCTTGTTTCTGGGAAAAGCTGGTTTTGGGTGCTATCATTCAAAATTGCACAAGAGATTTGATGCTCATTTGCCACTCCCTCTCATCCAGCAACCCTATCCTTACTGCCAAAGCTCTTGCCCTGAGGATGGGCCTCGAAGTAGCAAAAGATTTGGAAGCCTCTAAGCTACCGGTAGAGGTGGACTCTCTCCTCCTTTTGCCTATGTCTTCTGTAAGCAGAACAAAGCTGCTCATTCTATAGCCCAACGGGCCCTTCAAAATTCCGTTGTTTTTGTTCATGGGTCTCGGTTGCCCACTTGGCTCTCTGATGTGATTGCCCCTCTGCTCTTAGAGGTTGGCAAATTTCAATAAACCAATTCTAGCTTTCATTGTAAATGAAAAAGGAGATTGAAGAAAAATTAACAGTGCTTCTCGTTTCATTATTGGGACTGTCATTCTTTAGCTATAATTGTCACAAGATTCAGGAAAAAAAGGGAATCATTTAACAATAATTTTATTCAATTTTTTCAAGAACACGATACACATTAACAGGACTTCTTGCCAGAGGCAGAGATTGAAAAAATGCCAGAATACCAATGGTAGTTTGTTGGATATTTTCAAAAAGAAAAATCGTAGAAACCTTTGGAATGTCAGAGGTGGAAGATAAAACCTCTCGCTTGTGAATGGTTCCTTCACTCTATAGCAAGCTGACGTGGTTTGGAATATGAAAAGTCTCTTGGAGAGATGCCCATAAACTCCAATATTTGACAAATCAAGCACTGTGCTATGGGGTTGGTGTGAGGAGCTCCTTCCAGATTAATGGCTTGTATAGCCCATTGCGCATTGGCTTCTAAGTTGTAAGTGGCAACCAATTATATAATCTCCTTCAGTCCTTCTTGTGCTTGTCACCAATAATCTCCACAAGAACAAACACCATCTTTAAAATGATGGTAGCGATTGACGTCTCTAACGATGATTTCCCTGGCTGTAATTTTTGAGATGAACTTTATTGCCACATGACAGTCATCACAGACTCGGAGGTTCTTATTCACCAGAAGCCTCGTCCCTGGTGGCGTATTGATGAGTCCAAAAGCAATTGCAACCCTTTCACTGTGACTAGTAATCATTCTACCTTTCTCATCATCTTCTACATCATGCAAAACCGGTGCGGTATCCGGCACGTACCCAGCTTCTTCCATCAGTCCTCCCACCCTCTCCAGCTCCGCATATATCTCGTCTGATTGCGGATGGGAGGTATCTCCAACCAGAAATGCGTGAGTTTTGTTCTTCACTTCTATCCAGCTAAGTGCGATGCTCTTCTTGAGTCCTCTCTCCTTCATCAGCCCTCTCACCCATGCAACTCCTTCCCAGTTCCCAGCTTGTGCGTAGATGTTTGACAGGATCACATAATTGCCTGCGTCATTGGGTTCAAGGTCGATTAATCTCTCCAATGCCTTTTCCCCAAACATGACATTCCGGTGGATTTTGGATGCGTGCAGCAAAGCACCCCAGACACCAGAGTCCGGCCTTACTTTCATCCGCATGATAAGATCGTATGCCTCATCCAACCGCCCAGAATGACCAAGCAGATCAACCATGCACGTATAGTGTTGAACCGTGGGCTCTATCAGGTGTTCCTTCACCATCGACTCGAAAAACTTCCACCCTTCATCCATCAAACCTCCACGGCTGCAAGCTGATAAAACACCCACGAAAGTTATGTGATCGGGTGGAGCACCCTCCTTTTTCATCTCCTCGAACAGGGCGAAGGCCTCCGTGGTATGACCATGCATTGCATAACCGGCAATCATGGAATTCCAGCACACAACCCTCTTCTCTGCAAGTCGCTCGAACAGTCTCCGAGCAACTCGGACCCAACCGCTTTTGGCATACATGTTGACAAGCGCCGTTTTCACTTTGTCTTGACAATCAAAACCATGCCTCCAACTAAACCCATGGAGTTCCCTCCCTTGAGGGAGAGCCGCAATGTCAGCCGACGCCGAGATGACGGCGACGAGAGTTGCAACAGTGGGCCTCAAACCGGCAAAAGCCATCTCACGGCACAGACAAAGGGCCTCATCTGGGTGCCCATTCTGGGAGTAAGCAGCGAGCATGGAATTCCAGAAGACCACATCTCTTACCAGAACGTTGTCAAAGACTCGACGAGCAGTCGCTACACATCCACACTTGGCATACATGTCAATAAGCGCAGCCCCTACAAAGACGTCCGATTCCCACCCCGCCCGTATGACGTGACAATGGATCTCTCTCCCTTGTTGCAGCGCAGGGAGGGCGGAGCAAGCCTTGAGGACGAAGGGGAAAGTGAAGTTGTCAGGGTGGAGACCATACTCAAACATTTGGTGGTAAAGGGAGAGAGCGGCTTGATGGGGTCCATTCCAAGCATAGCCCTGAATGAGAACGTTCCAAAGGAAGACGTTGTCTTTAGGAATTCTGTCGAACAAGCAGTAGGCATGGGGTAAATGGTTGCAAACCGAGTAGAGATTAACGAGTTTGGTGGCTACAATGGTGCTCAAACCGATGCCCGTAACGAGGAGGTGAGCGTGGATCTGCTTCCCGGGCTCGATTGCTTTTCCCTCAATAAGAGACTGGAGGAGTGAAGCGTAGTGGTGGCTAGCAGTAGCAGAAGACGATGATGGTGAAGTTGGGCCACGGTGGTGGTGCAGATCATACAGAGGATGTATGATTCTAACAAATCTCTTGGGTTCGTAAGGCTGAGGAGATGTTGCAAAGGATAAGAATGCAGATGGATTGACGGAGAAGATGATGCAAGGAATAAGAGCAAGAGAGCTTCTGCTTCTCTTCTTTATTAGGGAGGAGTGAAGTTGCATCGGCTTTGCTGCAAGTTGAGAAGCAGGAGGAGAAGAGCCAAAAAAACTTTAAAAAAGATGGAATATGGATATGGCTGGATTGATTTGACTTTTGAGGGTTACTTGGTTGGAAGCAGTGAACTAATTCCTTGAGTTGAGTTGGGCTTGGGCCCGGCCCATTTTGCATTAGCCTTTTGTTCTCCTCATTTTTAGATCGAAATCTTAAATTCTTATTAAACTCTAAATCATATAATAAACCATATAATATTATGGTAAAATACAAACACTCCTACTCCATGGTAGCACTCTGGTAGGACGCATACACTCCTACTCCATGGTAGCAACCAAGTATTTTGCTAAAATACAAACAATCTTTTGCTTATAGCCTCCTCAGAAGTCAGATCATTTGAACTTGAACGGTTGAACGGCTGAACGGCTGAACGGCTAATTAGTTCTTTTAGTTGGGCCCGGCCCAATTACCACTATAAGGTCCATAGCCTCAGATCATGGTGCATGGATGTGTCATGTGTGTCTATATGAGTGATAAAATAAAACTGGGAGAAAGTTGTATTAAATAATAAAATAGGAATAGGGCCCACCCATAAGAGTAATTAAGGCCATAACCATTATAATTAATACATGTACTATGTATTACCGTTATTTTAAGCATGTATTTTTACACATGACCACCCCCACAAAACTCCATTCTACTACACCTCCCCCATTCATGTGTCATGATATTATAATAAAATTAATAATACTAATAATACACAAAATAAAACAAAAGGAAAAGTCCATAGAGACTACATCATCATCGATGACTTATCACTTCAGGCGGCTGCAGCAGCTCTTCCAAGTCCCTCTATTATCCTACTTTTAAGAAGGTCCGGTGCCGGTGACACCCAGGTCTTGTTTGTTATCTTCATTTCCGGCGCCGAAGATGGGACCACCTTTGCCGGCGGCATCTTTGACCTTGTCTTGAAGACTGTCGACCTGAATCCCCCCCACGTCTTCTTTGGAGCGGATGTCAGTCCTCGTCTTGTTATCTCCTCCTTGCACGGACTCGTAAATCGTTGCAGTGAATGACTCCTTTGGCTGTGCTCCCTGAGCTCCTGACATCTCTCTCTCTCCCTTTGTTTCCTTGTTTTTCCTTCTTCCAACCACCCCCTTCCTCCCAAATTTATAGCTATACTGCAGCTACTGAGCAGTAAGCCCCAGTATCCACTTCTCCTTCCCTCTTGACTCTCTGGCTTCACCCCATGTGTCGTTATTCCGATTGGTCTTTCCCAACTGCAGGCTTCTCATCTTCATTTCACCGACACGTTAGGTTTTTTTTCCCAGTACGTGTCAGCCATGCTCTACAAAACCGACGGGTATGTTTTTTTCTCTTTCGAATACGGTGGAAGGTGGGTGCAGCGGTCGGCGGGTGTCTGTGTTCATGGTCTTTGCATCTTTGGTCTGGACCGGGCTTAACGCCTATGACAATGGGGGATAGCCTGGTCCAATTGGTTTCATAACTTCAACTATGATACTGCAAAGATATGATATCTATTCAAAAAAATTAACTGCAATCATAAACGTGGTAGCCAATCAGTCTTATTTATTAAAATTTATAGGTGGATTTTAATTCTTGTATTATAGATTTTCCCGTGGAAATAAATCGAGTTTTCCATAAATTATTCGAGTTTGGTTCATGAAAAGTTTGATTTAGATCGATTTAAATTAAGTTTTGAGTTGAGTTCCATCTAATATATAGGTTCATTTACTCGGTACATCAGCTTCGCAAGACTAATGCATATATACATATATAATTTTTATTAATATGTATAGTAATATTTATATATGTATATATTTATTTTATATGTACGATAATAAACAATTTTATAATTTTTAATATTTTGTATAAAAAAATAAAAATAACATTTTATATATATAATTTTTATTTTTTATAGGAAGCTTGACTTATAGTTCAAACTTGAACTGAATTGAACTCAAACTTACAAACTTTTGAGTCGAATCGAATTTGAACTTGAGCCCAACACTATTTTGGTGAACTGAAGTAATTAACAGCAATCGATTCAACTAGGTTCGAATCCACCCCTATACATTAATCAGATAATTGATCATGATTCTCACATTTATATGCCATTATAAATATAATAAGTCCCACAGTAAATTTTCTAGAAAGTATTAGTTACCTAAACGGTGGGCAAGTTGTTTAGTCGATAGCACTAATCTCCTCCCCCCATCTCCCAAACAAGAAAAAAAAAAAGGTTCAGAATCCATACAACGTTTGCCTATAAAACACCTGAATAAACTCACTTATGTAAATGAATTAAAACGAACGAGGCCAAATAACGCTTTATCTTAATTTTATACACAAGAGGACATAATGATGCGGGTCGAGCAATCTCCAAGTTATCAACAGAGCTGTGGTGGTAGGAGCTCAAATAAGATTAAAAAAAGAACAAAATTGAAAGTGGATGGCTCGTTGCCAAGTAATTACTGTGTGCAAGTTGGAACTTGGAAGTTTGAATCCTATTTGATATAACATTAAATCAAACTACTGACGAAGACGAAGAGCAGGCCTACATTCCAGTTGCCAGATCGTGTTTAGTATAATTGCGTTGTATGCTCGTTTTTTCATCATGTCTGCACTCTGCACCATATAGGTGATTGGATTTTACCAAACCATAATATGGTTTGATTGGGTTGATTAGATACAAATATTTTATACCGCAGAAAAAGTACGGACGGGTTCAATGTAGATTTCTGATTTTCAGTGGAGAGCTATAAACATTTAAAATGTCAACAATTCACATTTTATGCATCAACGCCCACCCATAAATTGGTATCAATTCTGAGCTGACATCTTCCCTAATAGTACTTTAGGCCTACAAATTCTGACCATGGGCTGAATCTTCATTCTCCCTTTTTTTTTCACTCAGGTGAAATTCATTTCCAGAGAAATCCCCTATCTTGTTCCAAAAGGTGTTGTGTAAGCATTTACTCGTATGTGACATCTAATGTTACCCAATGATGTTTATGCCTAATAAATCAAGTTCAATGGCAATACCCATACACCAACAAAATCCCCTATCTTGTTCCCTGTCTCCACTCTTCTGGTAACAAGATGAGTTGAGGATGAGCACCTTTTTCTTGTCAGGCACGGGGAATTTTCAAATTTTCCCATCACAAGACATCACCAAAAATATATCAACTTCAGGGGGTAATTTAGGAATAGGCTTTTAAGAATTTAGGAGTATTTTAGAAATAAATTATAGAAATTTGGGGATATTTAAAAAATGAGATTATAGAATCCTAAGATCTTGAAAATTTGAGGAAAACTTAAAGGAATTTTAAAAATTAATAATTTAGGGGTATTTTAATAATTTATCACCAAGTTCAGATCAGATTCCAGGAATTATATACAAACCCCATCCTCACCCGTCCTAGTTTTGGATCAAAAAAGTTTTCCCCATCTCCCACCCCATCCCTGTTTCAGATCGGGGAAAATCCACCCAATTCAGGATAGAGCCCTGGTTTAATGGAAAAAATTGCCATCTCTACACCACGATATCAAGCACCCACCTTAACCACCTATTGTTTGTAATGTATTGTCACCATAGAGATAGAGTGACGATTTTGGTTTCAATATTCATTTGGAACAAGAGAAATCAGTGCATTTTTTGCTACCTGTTTATCAAGCGTAAAAAATAAGAGATATCACATCTTTGTAAGTGTGACAGTAATGCATTTTTTTTAACTTTTCTATAGCAAGATCCTCGTGTACGAGAATACACAAATCTTAAAAAAAATAAACCTCCCAGCCACACATGCATTTGTGTGGAACCGGTTCATTCGACAAAAGATTAAACATTGTATTTCATATATGTTTTGTCATTTTATCATTGGAGTTGATGATGCACATGTGAGATTTATGCAATTTTCCGCCTCTGTTAGCATCCAGCCAGTAAAGAAGAAAAATGTCCCCATCACATGATGCACTAGACATTTTTACATACCCAAATTTCTTTTTTGGATAAGTTTGCCTCGTCTTATTCCATTAGTTTTTGAAAGTGGAGACCAGGCAACAGAATGCTAATGGATAGGTTTATTGGCATTTCAAGGGGAACCTGGAGAGGTATATATGTAGGGCTGTCTATGGACCGGATATTGGTTCGAGTCTATTATAGATCCAATCCGACGAGTACTTACTTTACTGATCCAATTTAATGTCTGGTCTGTCCAAACTGTTCAAATTGGTTTTAATTTAGATCGTGTCCAACCCAAACCTGGGCAGGGCATTGGTTCAATCCAACCCAGTCCAATATAAATACATTGCAAATAGACCAGGTCCAATCCAATCCAATAAATACATGGGCAAATTCAATGTCTGGTCTGGCCCAATTCAATGTCTCAACTTGATTTTGATTCAGAAGGGTCCAACCCAAACCTGGTCCATTTGACACCCCCCGATATATGGAATTTACCCTTTAGGAAATACATGCTAACATTTGAATCCTAAAATATTGGATTTTGTTAAGCAGTCTAAACTATTGAAATTCCTAAAATGAGAATGCTGCCAAATATATTTAAGGCAGAAAGAAATCCAGAAATGTATCCATTTTAAACAACCAGGCATGCATCCATTTTAAACTGTAATTCTAAGCTCTAATGATCACCCACAACATAAATGGTCCCAAACTTTTGGTCTTGGGAGAGGGGNGTGAGCTTAGGAATTCGTTTTTACATGTCGGAACAGTAGCAGTTCAATTGGTACTTGGTAATTTAAATTGTTCAAGGAAGAGCAAATTGCCAAAAGGCAAGTGCAAATGTTGAAAGTAAGAAAAATTGTTTGGGGCAACATTTGACAATCGGTCCCCATAGAACAGCACTAACCTCTTTACTAATAAGCTAATTCCCCTCTTTATTTCTTCAAAAATCGCCGGATCACCCAAAAGAAAAATAGACAACTCTTCCACTCCCTACTCCGACCTGCAATCACAAATGACATAAAAGCAACATAAAAAACCCAATCAACTTTCAGAGTGAAAAGAAAAGGAACAGGATGCGGATAAAAAAAAAAAAAGTAAAGGAACAAGAGAAAAGGGCAACGACCATCAACGAGAACAAAGGATGATGACAGAAAGGTTAAAAAGACAGATAAAAAGTAGAATAATCCGTGATTCCTGAACCTAACTTCCTACCTACCCAAAAAATTATATGTAACCCCTGTTCATTTATTTTTATAGCTGAAAATGGATGTGATTCCATCTCCAATTTTACCATTCAACCTATATACCGGAAGCCAAAAAATAGTGACTTGAATAAATCCTGTTTGTAGACCACCTGGTCTCGCCTGATCATAGGGCCTACATTCTTTCCATTCTTCTAAACAAATTAAGAGGGTGTTTGGTATTCTGGAGTTTATCTGCCTTGGAATTGAAAGTTGCCACATAAAGCATTTTTATGCCTACACAACTTATTCTGGAATTTTCTGTGGGGGCAGATTGAGGGCTGCAATGAATTTTACAATTTGGCTCATGGGAAATGGAAAGGTTAGTTTTCAGAATTGTCCCATTCTGATTGCAACAAAATTTTTAACAATAAATAAACTTCAAATGCCTGATCAGCATATATTTTTTATTAAGCACATTTATAAAAAGTTGTTTAAATGTAAACCATGAATGAAAACTATTAAAAGAAAACAAAATATTCAAATAGTTTCAACAGATCACAAAGAAACATTCCCTTTCAGTAACATGTTAAACTGCAATCCCATGCAAGCTAAGTTGTTCCTTCATCCATGCATGAAAAAGACAAGTGTCCACCATAGTCAGTTCTTTAATCACCAAGCCACTTCAATTCTACACAAAGCTTGCCATGGGAAAGGGAATGTTTAAATGTAAACCATGAATGAAAGCTATTAGATGAAAACAAAACATTCAAATATTTTCAAGATATCACAAAGGAATATTCCTTTTCAATAACATGTGAAACTGCAATCCCATGCAAGCTAAATTGTTCATCATCCACCATAGTGAACTCTTTTAGCACCAAGCCACTTCAATTCTACACAAAGCTTGCCATAGGAGATGCAGCACTGTGCAGTATAAGTAGGGGAGAGAGAGAGAGAGAGCAGAAAAATTAATTCCAGAACTACTGATGCACCATAATGTTACTTTTCCTGATAAGTTTTATGCACTATAATGTTTTAAGCAAAGGACTGCTTTCTATGCATCATTCGTTTCATAAGGCATAGTTAGGGGGTAGGGTATTACAACTTTGCTTTGCCCAACAGTCTAGCTCTAAGATCCTCAGCCACAGCATCAATGAATTCTTCAGTATTCAGATAATGGTCCCTAGTGACCCTGTACAAGAAAAAGAAAGTCTTAACATAAACATTAAAAACAGCAGCACAAATACAGAAATGGAACCATTCTGAAAATATTTACTTGGATCCATGGATAAGAAGCGCAAGATCCTTGGTCATTTTTCCTGATTCCACAGCTCCAACACAAGCTGCTTCCAATTTCTCAGTAAAATCTAGCAATCGAGAATTTTCATCCAACTTTGCCCTGTCAAGATCAACCCATTTGCTTAACATTCTCCATGAAATTGATGATGTCATTCCTACTGTTAAGTATTATCATATATCCTACAAGTTAATGAATCTAGCAACCTGATAATTCTATACCTGTGTGCAAGCCCTCGGGACCAAGCAAAGATTGAAGCAATGCTATTTGTACTGGTTTCACCTCCTTTCTGATGAACTCGGTAATGGCGTGTCACTGTGCCATGGGCTGCTTCAGCTTCAATGGTTTTTCCATCTGGGCATACCTGATACAGGGCATGAGGGGCTTATTTGGACTAGCATTTCATGAATTTGGAAATATATGCACTTTTTTTTTATAAATAAATATGAATTTGGAAATACATTCTGAAACTGTATTCCAAGTACTTGTACATTTCCTAGATTCAGACAAAATTGGTTAACCTTGTATAAATTTGTAACAATGTTTTAAAAACTGACCCAGAACCGGAACTGGAACTAGAACTGCTTTGGCCACTGATTTCTGGGCCAGCAATTGACCATCCGGTCCGAAACCGTTGTCCAGGTCGAATAGGTCAACAGTTTGACCACCCAGGTCAGTGGGTTGTTGACCAAGTCAACAATTTTTTGGCAAGATTCCAGTTCAGGGGTGAAACAGAACCGGTTGACTGGACGATTTCTGGGCCAAACGGTCTGACTGCCCAGGTCAACGACGGTTCAAAAACCATGATTTGTAATAATTCTATAAGCTTTGGAAGTTGATACCAAAAAAAAAATCACCCTCCCCAAAACAAGCAAACAGAATAAAAAAACAAAATAGACAAATTAAAAGAAAGTCAGAGATTCAGGATATTGTAATCTACATTCTCATAATCAAGAGTTCTCAACAATATTAAGTAAGCCACAGACTTTCTCACAAAAATGCACATGAATAAACTCGTAAATATAATTCATGCAAACTGTGAACAGCAGACCTACCAATACTGATGTCATTAACCCAAGAGACCCAAAACCTGAAACCAAAGAAATAAAGTTTTACATTAAATAGAGCAACAAATGCCTTAGTTATAATCTTACTAAAATAACTCCAGTAGCAAAGCTTCCAGTTTACTGATCATAATAACAGAAGCACCGACTACATAAACTTATAAGAAGCTCTAGAAAGGTAACAATTAGAATCTATACCAACCTTGAGCTAAAAAGTCACTCTGCACATCTCCATCATAATTCTTGCATGCCCAAACATAACCACCTTCACTCTTAAGTGCATAAGCAACCATATCATCAATAAGTCGATGCTCATACCTGACGGTGCAATTGAATAAACTCATTAGCTATGGCAAGAATTCAGAACCACAAAAAACAGCAGCATGGGGCATGATCTCACCATATTCCAGCAGCCTTAAACTTTGATTCCCATTTACTTTCATAAACTTCTTGGAATATGTCCTTGAACCTTCAGCAAATAAAGACAATTTTGTTGGAATGGAAAACTAGATGCAAAATGGAAAAGGAAAATACAGAGGCATGTCAAAGCAAGTGGCATACCTTCCATCGTATTTCTTAAGAATTGTATTTTTTGTGCTAAGATAAAGTGGCCACTTTTTCTGGTAAGCTGTGGCCATTGAAGCCTCAGCGAAGGCATGAATTGACTGCATACAAATGCAGGAAAGAAAAAAATAAGGGTTTTACAGATTTATTAAAAGGTTAACTGGGTCTGTATTGTTACCCACTCAATAAAGAAACTATGATGCTACAGAACACAAACCTCATCAGTGTTGTACATGGATAGAGCTACTCCTCCTGCACCCTTAAAATCATAAACCTCTAATTCTGTCTTCTCATCCTGTCCTTCTGGAACTGTCAACAGTATTAAAATTTTCCTGTAAGTAATAAAGACATAACAGGTGCATTGAACCATTCACACTAAAGTAAATTTTTGTGCAACATATATTCTAACCAAACAGCAGAGGCATATAGAAGAAGGCCTAGGAAACTCTTTGCTAAAGAAAACCTCATACCAAAGACCAATTTAAGTTTGCCAGGTCCCTTAACAACAGTATCAGTAGCACGGTATTGGTCACCAAATGCATGCCTTCCGATGCATATGGCCTTGGTCCAACCTAATAACAAAAGTTAATGTGGTTAAGTTATTACCAAAGAATGAAAGAATGAACCGACAAAGGAAAATTTTCTTATTTGCTACAACTGAGAAGTGGATGTCATAATTGAAGAGTATTTATACCTGGGACAAGTCTTGGGACGTTTTTGCAAATAATTGGTTCTCTAAACACCGTACCTGCAATAAGTGGAGATTAGAGATAGCCAGGAAGGAATTAGACATCATTACCAACCAAGTAGCATTTGGAGCACCAAAATATTATTAAATTTCACTAACCATTCAATATGTTCCTAATTGTCCCATTTGGGCTCTTCCACATATATTTTAAGTTGAATTCTTTGACACGAGCTTCATCTGTGAATCATACGACCAAATTTGTCAAACTAGATCCATTTGCAATTTGCAACCTATATAAAAACAAATACAAATATGGCCAAATGGAAGTATATGTTTCAGAAGTTTAGATAAGTATACCTGGAGTTATGGTTGCACACTTGATTGCTACGTTGTACCTACAATAATATCATATTAGCATGATAATGAGAGGAGTAACATTGTTATATGGACCTAATTAACGACATTAGACATCTGAGCGTCCAGCAACAATGGATCCATGTATGATAATGCAATGACTAGTCTTGATGCATCCTCCAAGAAGGAACTAGCATCAAAGGGAAAGGGTGATAAAGCTTATTAGCCATTCAGTAAAAAGTGTGAACAGAAAACACATCCAACAATAAATGGAAACTTTGGTTGGTATGTAGTCATACAGACATACTAAACTCAAAATATTGAGCAAAAGAAACATAAAAAGAATGATAATAAGAAGTAAAAAGGCATTTCTCCTAAATAAACCCACCAACACCCACGGAAAGGGGCCACTTTCTTTTCTAGAGAATCTAACTCATAAGGAAAAAGAGAAATGAAAAAGATGATGCATACTTAAGTGTAGCTTCTGCACTCTCAATTGTAACTTTATCATCTGTAGAATCACGATTAGGGAGTCCAAGGTCAAAGTACTTTATATCCAACTCCAGGAAGGGGAAAATAAGCTGCAATAATTCAATGCAAATTCACTCAAATAAGAACAATATATAAATAAGAACTAATGCACTGGAATTTAGGATGAAATGAACATCATTACTGAGTTAAATGGAACTCAATTACCTTTTCCTTAATAGACTTCCAAAAGACGCGAGTCATTTCATCCCCTGCATCATAGAAATTGGGGCAGCACAAAATAAGATAAAAGCAAGGAGGTAAAGTGGCAAGTGGTTGACATAGTGCAACATCTAATCAAAAGCCTAATTATTTGAAATAGATACAAACAGATTCTGCCAAACTTCCTTGTGGTTTCTAAGACGATCGTTTTCCTCATAATATCCTCCCACTCCACCAAAGACAGGTGATCATCTGACTACCAAAATATTTCACATGGTCTTATCTTAAAATTTGCTCATCCCCATAACCATTTGGAGTCTCTGTACTGAATAATAACAGGATGATGCATCTTCCTCACCAAAAAAAGGTGGGAAGACGTGTTCATATATTGTATAATCTCAACACTGCTAAATGTCTGACAACTAGGCAAGGCAAGTTACAATAAAACTGATATTTAAGCTAAGGTATTTACAAGTGAAAGAAGCAACTTCGACAATCCGAGGTCCAGGCATGAGCTAGAAGACACATAGGCAGCCTTGATCCGCAAGTTCGACGTCCTAACAGATAGTTATATTTTAAACTACAGGATTTAACTTTCAACTACTTGCTAAACAATTATTTCTTTATCATTTTCCTTTCCGAAGTGGAATGAATCAAAGGCGTAGTGAGAATCACTCTGGTAATCAGACACGTTATACATCATTGGACTAAACACTGTATAAGAAAGACAACAAAATCATGTGATCGAAAAAATAAAAGAAATTTGTCTATAAATAGACAACATTTACAAGCATCAGCCACTCGTTAGTCTCATTTGATTCCCATGTTGGATCTTTCGTTACTGAATCATAACCAGAGCAAAACTCAAGGAGATTCTCTTTTATTTTTTTGTTTCATCCCCTATGTATACTCTTGAGGAGTGAACAGGGAACAGATCCGTGTAAAATGAAACTAAAATGGTAAAGAACAGAAGGAAAAAATGAAAGAACAAAAGGAAAAGGAGCTCACCATCCATCTCAACGATGGGATTGGCGACCTTGATCTTCTCGAAAGCCATTTCTCCGTGAATGGTCGATCTAGGAGAACTTTAAGAGACCCGGGAGGTGGAGAGCCGGAGATCTGACACTGTCGTTCCTCCGCCGATAGATTGATCTGATAGCAGTCGGAGAAAGGAAGGAAGAAAGAGGTTGGTCCGAAATCCGCTAGCAAGAAAGAAAAATGTCCTTCTTATAGAAATTGACGGACTGTTACGAGTGCAAAAGCGACGGGCAGGTGCCGGTTGTTGACTGGCTTCTTGACTATTTGATGGATTTTTCGACTTGGAAGTTAAATTAGCCCTACTTTTCATCTGAATTTACTAAAAGACCACGGACCGCTGGACCATTTAAACATATTTGAATAATTTTTCATCTGAATTTATTAAAGACAACTAAATTGTTTTTTAGAAGAAAAAAAAAAAACACTAAATTGTATTTAGCAGCCAGAATAGGTCCCCTTTTGGCATGTCTTTTTTGGAAGATCTTCTCGTAGTCAAAAGACACATTGAGCTTTTGCATGAAGATCTAAGCACCTCGAAGTACGTTTTGTAGATGCACGCCTTTTCGTGCATTTTTCCATGTCTTTCTGCATGAGAATAAAATGTGAAAGACACGAAAAGCTTCATTTGGAGTTTCCCAAAATGGGTTTTTTGCGTATTTTCGGCGCTTCAACTTTTGCCGGTTAGATCTTCCACAAGCCAAATGGAAATATACCGAAAATCAGTTTGCCCGACTTGTAAACAGCTGAAAGATCGCTTAAAAAGAAGCACCAAACGGGCCCTAAATTGTCTTGAGCTGCAGTCATAGAGGCCTTACTCGGGATCTGTTGCTCTCGTGCTCCGCCAAAAAACTCTTTCGGCTCCACTTTGGGTTTGTATTATTTTAGATGTATTTGCATTATCCGTAAGGGTGAGCATTATTCGGTTAAAATCGAAAAATCTAACGGAAATTTTTTATTCCGTTTGTTCGATTAATTCGGTTCGATTAATTGAATAAATCAAACTTTAGTATATAATATATAATATATAATATGTCACATATAATATATAATATATTATATATTTATATATTAATATAATGAAATTTGATTTCATAATATATATTTTATAATATAGAATATATTATTAAAATTTGGTTTTGACTAAAATAACAAAAAACTGAACCAAAAAATTTGGTTTAGGTTATTCCGGTTTTTCTAAAATTTTGTTTCAGTTTGGTTTTTATTTTTTCAATTCGGTTTTTAAAATTTCAGTTTATTTGGTTCAGTTATGAATCAAATAAACCGAATGCTCACCCCTACATATTTGTATTTATTAGGTGTTTTCAACCCGTTGTTGACCCAATCGGTTAAACCATTTGAATCGTCATTCGATCAGGGATCCGGGTCCAGTTCTATTAAAACCCGTCAGTCAGTCAATCAAAAATGTTGATTTTGTCAAAAATCATTTGACACAACTGGTTCAATAATTGACTCGTTCAACTCAATCACATTCAACGCATGCAAACTTTTGGAGGCCATAACTTTGCACTCCAATGTCTGAATGGGATGGCCTTTTTTTTTATTTTGGGTAACTTTTTGGTATATGTGCGACCCAAGGCATTTATCCCACTATTTTTGCAAAAAAAAACCCTTTTGGCGTCAAAATTGTAATTTTTAATATTTTTATAAATAAAAAATAAAAAACATAAATTAAATATAAAATAGTACATATAACCTATCTAAAACATAATTCACAGTCTGACCCACTTGGTCCAGATGGTCGAATTGGTGACCCGCAACCTAAAGGCGAAAACGATTTGACCTCTGGGTCGGTTTTTAGAACATTGGTATTTATACTCTTTTCAAATTGACCGAAAATGCAAGTTAATTGAGTTTTGTAATGATAATTTAGTATCCTTACCAAATGATTTTTAGTTGTTATAGATACTAACATAAATCCACGTCTGTTTTTTATTCTTGGGAGATGTTCCCAATACGAAGTGGGATGTGATGTGAGCTTGTGTGAGGTGCTCTGTGAAAAGTAAATCCTGATTTACCTTTTTTAACATTGACAGAATTTGAATGCAAAATTTGCTCTTATTTTGAATGCAAACATATCTTAGAATAAAGACATTCCAAACACTAGAATTCTTGCCAAGCACTAGTAAAATTGAACCAAAGCACATATATGCACTAAACCAGCATTTATGCTCTTCTAAAATAAAGACCAAGGCCCAGTTTTGAAGGGGTACAAATACAAATATGTAAAATACAAAACCTTATATTTTGTATGTATTTATACTGTACATATTTGTATTTGTACCCTTTTTAAATTGAGCCTTAGGCTGGGTTTGAAAACGATGCAAATAGAGTGCATTTCGGTCCATACAAATGCAAAGTTGGATTAATTTTACATTAACAAATTTACTTTCTTACCAAATGCCTTTTAATTGTAATGGATGTAAACATGAATCCCGATAAAATAATATACCTATTTTAACAAAAGCTCACTTTATTTTCTGTCATTGTCAATTTATAAATGTGATTTTGTCAAATACTAACAACTAAACAGGCATTTACACTCTACCGTTTCCAAACACAACCTTATTTTTAGGTAGAAATTCTTAAGGACCCTTGAGGGCTCTCATTTAATTTATCTTTTATCAAACCAAACACAGCCTAATAATGGAACGTTGCACATTGCATATGCAACTGATCTATCTACAAGAATTCTGGGATAAAATACATAATCCAACAGGGACTAGAGACAGTTGAATGCGTCAGCGTAGAAACAGTGTCTTCTTTCCCCTTAATTATTTTTGGGTAAATCAACACTTAATTATTTTTTTTCGCTTCATGGGACTACACAACAGAGGGTAGCCCATCCCCTTTCCCTTAACCCCCTCTCCAACCCCTGGTGACAGCGGGATTTGATCCCAGGTCTCTATTCCGATGAGTCAAAGAACCTACCAACTGAGCCACCATCAGTTGGCAATCAACACTTAATTATGGATAAATATGGACTGTAGAATAAAAATAGTCACAAATCACAATGATCCAAATTAAACGGCATGTTATGATAGTCTATAAAAAATAAAAATTCCAAGGTTGTATGCTTAGATGTTAATGCTGTATTTGGTTGCTGTGTAAATTTTATTTGCATTGATATAAATGCACGATAGTGTAAATATCTCCTAATGATAGTACCAGAAATGATGATGTCATCATTGGGCTTAGATGTGTACTCGATTTCAGTCTGTGCAAGTCAGTGCTCACACCATTCAAACAGCCTCTCCCAACCTTGCATTGGGAATATCTCCCCATGAAATAAAGCACATAAGTACAGAAATATTCCCAATGTAAGACTGTAAAAGGTGTTCGAAGGGATCTTGCACTGATTGAAGCTGAACTCGTAGGAAACAAGATATGTGGGTCACAAAATATAATATTAGAGAGAATTAAGTTAGGAGGAAGGTGGTGAAATTTTTGTACCAATTTTTGAGATGCAAAATTTATACTGCTAGTGAGTGCAAATGTGATAAAAGCATAAATTTTTCATCAGGTAGAAATGCAAATCATAATTACAAACAAATAGATGCAAAAGTGAACTGGATTCAAAATCATAGTTACAAATCTGATTCAGATTTGCACTGCAACCAAATGCAGCCTAAATGTTTAAAATAGGCAATGACATTATGTCAAAACACTAAATGAAATTTGTTTGATTGGTATTTATGATGATTAAACATTAAACAATCGTTTTAAACAGGATTGTGTTTATTGATACAAGGTGTTTCTACTATTAATGAAATAGAACTGTGGGCAGCAATTGAAGTTCATACAATGGCTACAAAGTTTAGGAATCAGAAATGCACAATTGAAGGTGATTACAATATCATCATAAATAGTTACAAGGAGAAATGGAACCTCTATAGAACATCAAAGTGCCAATAGAAGACTGTTATGAAGTGTGCCAGAGTAAAGAACACTATAGACTACAACCATATCCCAGGGAGGATAAACATGTTGCGGTCTGGTTAGCTAATAGAGGTGGAATATCTCCTCTTGTGAGTAGGAGTTTTGGCTATATTTGTTTTACTGAAGAATGGGGGAGATTCTCCCCTCGTGGTTTTTAATTGTTTTCCTCAATTATCAAAAATTAAAAAAAAAGACATGTCAGTAGGGGTGATCATTATTTGGTTAAAACTGAAAAACCGAATAAAAAATTTTAGTTTCAGTTTTTTCGGTTTTTGGTTATTTTGGTTCGGTTTTTTCGGTTTTGTAAAATTTTGATTTCGGTTTTTAGGTTTAGAAATTAGATTAATCGAAAAAACTGAATTAGCCAAACTTTATTATCTATTATATATATAAATTAAATTAACATATAATGCATATATAATATGTATAAAATATATTATATTATATTATGTATTAAAATATATAATGTATAATGTATAATATATATATATATATATTAAAATATACACTATAATATATATTAAAATATATATAATGTTGAAATTCGGTTTTAACTGAAATAACCGAAAATTTCTATTTCAGTTATTTTGGTTTCGGTTTTGGTTTTTTATTTAAAATTTCAGTTTATTCGGTTCAATTTTTAATTGAATAAACCGTTTGCTCACCCCTACATGTCAGTACACATACAGCCGGTCGATGTGATTTCACACAACTCCTATAGTTTTAGAAGGTCATACAAGTTGTTTCTACCCACAAAAGGAGGTTAGGGTTTCATCCCGTAGGTAGAGTCAGGCTAGTAGGGTTGCTGAAAGCCAAACATTGCCATTCTCATAATGTCAGATAGCTACTCAAATGCATGGTTGTTTGAAGAAGTTTAAAAAGTGACTTTCTCAAATGGATCTGTTTTGTACCTTTCATCTTTAATAGGTTATACCATTTTTTTAATCGTTGAAGTCTAAATACCAAGGCTCCGTTTGGAATTCTCAAGATTAGAGATGAGAATGGAGAGTGGGTTGAGGGTAAGGATCATGTTGAAGAGGCTATTGTCCAGCACTTTGAGGGCATTTTCTTCTCATCCAATCAGGTAGAGGTGAATAAAGCTTTGGAGTTTGTTGAAAAGATGGTTAGGGAGGATGGTAATGTTGATTTGCAAAGGTCTGTTTGGAGGTTGAAATTAAAGAAACTTTATTTCAAATGGAGTCTAGAAAAATTCCTGTT